ACTCTGAGCTATTAGTTAAGTTCTCCCCAAGCGAGCTCGATGGGCCGAATGGCCTCCTCTCGTTTGTATAGTTCTTATGTTCTTATGTTCTTAAGAATCATTTGCAGATGGAACTTTTTGGCCAGTTATTACTTTGCATTTTTACATCTTAATTTTTTTGCATGGGCTGATCTCACTGCAGCAGTATCACTTGTTTTTCAGTCTAAACCACGCTCTGTGCTCATTGCTTATAATGGCCACTCCACTCAGTTTTGTAACGGCTTTTGGTGTCTGAGGGAGTGGTGTCTGGCTCAGTGGGTTAAAACACTGTCTGTGATTGGAAGGTCCAGGGTTGACTGACTGAATTCATCATTGATCCCTTGAGCGAGGCTGTCAGCCCCAATTGCTTCACTGACTGTCTGACTTAGCATTCACAATTATACATCACTTTGGACAAAAGCATCAACTAAATAAATAACATGCAACTTACATATTACTATGTACTTGATAATATCAGAGAAAAAGAATGTATTTTATTTTCATAAAGAATATGTTTGTTTTTGGAACAAATGATGCAAGTAGGTATGATGAATAGTGCTTCTTTATCTTTTCATCTTTGTCTTTTGAAGTACGACAGATTACTCCTCATTTCCAGTATTGCACCCTGATCCTTTAAGTTTTGCTCCCAGCTGATCCTGCAGGTAGAGACATGGTTGTGAGCATAAGCGTGTCAGTCCACAAATCATAGACTAAATTGGAGGCTTGGACTCTCTTCAAGGAAAACTCGTAGCTCCTTTCCGGGAACAGGTCGCCGATCTGCATGCTGAAATAGTAAGTCGTGATGGGCCCAGTGTGCTGCTGTTCCTCCGCGGTGTTTGGGTTCAGGAGCGTGTAGCGCACCTCAAAATGCTCCGTGGGGCCGTACCTCTCGTGCTCTTGCACGTGCCAGCGGAGCTGGACCGACGTGGCCTGGGCTCTGCATCCGTCCCTTCTGAAGGTGACGGGCATCTTGATGTCGAAAACCAGCCGGACATCAGGTACCTGTTCTGCACTCGTCACTGGTATGAGTTTGTGCTGCACGTATAAGTGACCCGGGAGAAGCACGGAATCCATGTCCAGGAGGGTCTGGTTAACCTGGTCCAGCCTCTGCTGGATGGAAGCACTATCTTGCACAACTGTCATGGGCTCATATGTGTTCATTATTTGCTCCAGAATCTCCTTTCCTCTCCTGATCTCTCCATAGAGCATTTCCAGCAAGCAAAGTTGGATCCTGATCTGGCAGTTGGCTTTCTCTTTCATCAACAGATACTTACTGGGATCAATCATGCTGTGGAGGTTGAGAAATCTGTCAAGCTGTCCCCTGTGCTGGTCTTCAAGGACAATATTGATATAGTAAGAGCATTTATTCCGGATTTCTATGGTCTCTCGGTATCCAATCACGCTGTTGTTGCTCAGTTTCCCTGAAAGCAGTTCTATCATCTGACGCCTCAGGTGGTTGTATCTTTCCCACATATCGCTGTCTTCACAGCCCTCTCCTCCCTGTGGCTTGGATGCCATCTTTACTGGTCAACGTTGTCGTGTCAGGAAATCAGAGTTTGATCCATGTACTTTTTATAATCTATTGCAGGGAAAATTCAAAGAAAAAAAATTTTGATGTGCAAACTGATGCTATAGCCTCATTTAACTGTCTTTTATTATATTACTGAACACATTCCCACAGTACTATACATTTTGAATACTTGAGAAGTCGTCCAGCAGTACTATAGTAATGACGTCCTTCAAGGAAGAACATCTCTGTTCCTTTGGCCCAAAGGCTCAGTCTAGTATTGCTGTCCTTTATATTATGTTGTTAATGATTAACAACCAGAACAAACTTGATAAACACAAGCAGCAACACTTAAACAATCACTTGTTTTGACTATCATAGGCTGGGAGCGGAATATTAAACAAACCAAAGGTCACTTCAGTGACACTAAGTCTGATGTTCACTTACAGTAATGTGTAAGACTTAATGTTCACCGTTCTGTACACATTCATTCATATGGATAATTAAGTATCTTTTAAAGTCCTTACTTAAGTTTTAATTCCATACCAAGCCCTGCATAAGGCAGAGTATTAATACTGCATTTATTTACTATGCAACACTATAGCAAATCCAAGCACCTTTTGGGGAAGAGAAATAAAGTGCTCCCACAGACAAATCTAATCACAGTCGCCAAGAAATGTGTAGCTGATATGAAGCTGTGATTGTGTCACGGCTTTCAGAAATTACTTGCTGTTCATCCGCAGCTCTCCGGCACAGCCTCTTTATTTCGTTACTCTCCAGTTTAATTGGATTTTAGGAGCTAACCGATTTCCCCCTGATAATGTCAACGGGAAATAGACAAGGCAGTAAATGGAATTAAGATCATTTTAAGAAATCGGATTTAAACGTACAGTGTTAAAAAGTGCGAAGTGCAGTATGTCTGTGGGATTTACCGTACATCTTATATATTTCTTCTGTTTTAGTAATCGTGTTAATCAGCACAATTTAGTTTATTATATTGTACATACGCACAAGTATAAGAAGTAATTAAGAGCTATCATTTCACCTTACCCGCTTTATCTCGTCACTTATCTTAAAACATCCCATCTTTTGCTTTATTTTTGTTTAAACTTCTTTGTTTTTAAACTTAGCGACAATTGAAAGTTGGCTTCACGGTTACTCTGAACGTTATCATAAAGCGCATTTTCCATAAATCAGAGTACAAAATCAGAAGGAAGTAAGGGAAACCACAGAAAATAGGGTATTGTTTTAAACTTTAAGTGATAAACTATGTTGAGTGCCGTCATTCAGACGCCAGGAAATAAACACGACGATTGAAAAATAACATCTGCACGACATGCAATGGAAATTTAATAGTGATGCCACCAAGAGGCGCTAAAGCGCTGTTGAACCTGTTTTACAGAATCGGAAGATGTATTTCACGCAGCTATTTGCACCGAAGGTTTAAGATAAAGTTCAAGTGCTTCTAGATAATAAAAGGCCACATTTCGATACCAGTTGCTGCCGAAAAGAGCAGATTTGAGAATCTTGTGGCACTTTGTTATTGTGAAATTTAACTCCAAATGTTTGTCGGGGTCTGAACCCTCTCCCCGAAGCTACAGTCACAAGCTATCAGTTATCAGGTGTTATTAACTGAATAATTTCTCGAAGGCCCATAATTTGGGATTTTAATGACAAGTATTTGAGGATTTAAAAACCAAGCATCAGCGTAATTGTGAGTCATTTAGTGAAATACTGCCACCATGAGTCAATCAGGCGTACTAAAAAAACATTATGATATGTAAGAAAAATGTATCTGGTGCGCCATAAATACTTGATTTTAGTTTTTAGAGCATAAATAAAATATGTTTACTGACTTCAGTTGAAGTTTGTTTTTAATCATCAATATACTGTACAGTAGTTTGTTTTTCACCCCAAATGTTTTTCTTGAAAAGATACCATAAGTATTACACATTATTAGGGAAGAGAACTTGTGATTCCATTACGAAGATCGATTGGGAAGTAAAATCTGCCTGACTTAAGAAATGATGCCCAATGGACCGAATCAGAATAAAAACAAAGAGTACTAGTAGTTGTTTCACACATGTTCTGTAAATGTATGTAGGACTCCTGAACCCAGTATTTGGTGAAATCACTTTTTTACACCTGACTGTTTCCAATAACACTTGAGTACCTCTGCTTATTCACCTTAATGGCATTTCACCATGAATTGCAAACATTTCAAGAATGCCAAAGTAATTGATGTAAAGCATCAAAACCTGGTTTTAATGAGAAAGCACAGAATGAGCACAATGCTAATCCACTTAAGAAACATAACTTAATAATAATTATTATTATTATTATGCATTTTATTTAAATGCGCCTTTCAAGGCACTCAAGGACACATTAGGAAAAAAATTCCACTAAATACGGAAAACTACTTCTGTACGTATTTATAAATGCATTTAAAATTACTGTAATCAAATAAATTAAAAGCTACCTAAATAAATGTAAAATTTACAGTGAATTAGCACGTTTAAAAATATGGGTTTTGTGCTGAGATTTAAATGTAGAGAAACAGTCAAAACTACAAATATCAGGAGGCAGGAGTTTCAAAGACAGGGAGTAGCGTGACTGAAGGTCCTGAAGCCCATATGGTGGTCAGGCGAGCTCAAGAATGGAGGTGAAATGAGAGGATCTACGAGTGTGAGAAGGAGTGTAAATATGTGAAAGATCAGAGAGGTAAGAAGGAGCCATATTATAAAGGTTAACAGCAAGATCTTGAAATTAATATGATATCTGACAAAGAAGTTGCTAAAGAACAGGAGTTATGTGTACAGTAGAGGGAGTCCTAGTGACAATGCGAGCAGCAGCGTTCTGAGCCAACTGAAGCTTAAGGAGGAGCTGGAGAGGGAGTCCTAGTGACAATGTGAGCAGCAGCGTTCTGAGCCAACTGAAGCTTAAGGAGGAGCTGGAGAGGGAGTCCAGACAAAATGGAATTACAGTAATCAATACGGGATGTGACCTCTGGGATCTGGGTTTGATTCTCTGCCATGGCATGCCTGGTGTTTGATTTTGTCTCCGTGTCGTTGTGGCGTTTAATCCAGGTATTCTGGTCCCCCCCCCACCCCCCCAGTCCAAAAACATAATGTGGTGAATTGTAGTTATTAACTTGTCTGTAGGTGTGAGGTGTGAATGGTGTCTGTGCCCTGCGATGGGTTGGTGCCCTGCGATGGGTTGGTGCCCTGCGATGGGATGGTGCCCTGCGATGGGTTGGTGCCCTGCGATGGGATGGTGCCCTGCGATGGGTTGGTGCCCTGCGATGGGATGGTGCCCTGCGATGGGTTGGCACTCCATCCTGGGATGTTCCCTGCCTGGTGCCCATAGACTCAGGACCTCAGCAACGCTGAAAAGGACAAGCAGGTACAGAAGTTGGATGGATGGATGGGTGGATGGATGGATACACGGAAATGAGACATGCTTGTACAAAACCTTGACTATCTTAATAAAGTACCCCAAAATGCTTTGTCTGTGAAAAGTTACTGCATAATATTTATATGCATTATAAACATATACAAAAATTTTACACTTTACTATTTTACCTGTGCTTTGCAGTGCCCACTAACTCATGTTATTTCATTACTTTATTCACCTTTGTTAATGTTGACTACAATCATACAATCCAAACTTTGATGTTGACTACTGGAAAAATCAGTCGAATTGAAATAAATCTAAATTTATGAAATGAATGTAGGCATAAATTATGAATGATTCATTCCTCTCCAGGCACATGATGGTAATGATAGTGTATTTGAGACTAATTCTGGGGCACAATATTCAATTGTAAATGTCTTCCTTAATAATGTACATATATTTTCCTTAAGAATCCATGGTTGAACCTTGTGTGTGGGTGTTGCTTAGCCGCTCACATCCAGCAGATGCTTGCTGATTCATGGCTGTCACAGCTCACATCTTCTATGGATTGGCTATATAAATATTGCTTTCCTTTTATCCACATCCACATGACACACTGCTGCTTCGACAGTTTGGGATGGCGCTTTTGTTGTTTGTTTGCCGTTCTCTGCTGAACAAATTGATTAATTACTCCTCCAAGAATAAGGCCTTAAATTTCTTTTTCCAGCTTCACAAGACAGAGGTGGCACCAATATCACAGCTACAACAGGACAAGGCCAGGCATTGTCAACCTGTCCATATATGGGAAAACGTGTCCGTGACAGCATGTTTTGACAGAGAGGGAAAAAAACTACATGGGTTATGTTTTAAAATACCATTTCCGAGGTAAAAATTGTGTTTTATTCAAAATGACCATCACAATTCACCATGGTGTTGACCCCTGAACAAAGCACATGTGGATCGCAGTTTTATAGCTATTGACAGCAGACTTACATTTTAATGTTGACTGTAATAACACGATGATTAGAGGGGGCCCTATTATGCTCATTTTCATAATTTTATTTTTGGAGTCAACTAGAATAGATTTTTAAAAAGACATTTTCTCTTACTGTACATCTCTATTCACTCTGTCTATAACTTTGCTTTAAGCTCCACCCCCAATGAGCCCAATGTGCTCTGATTGGTCAGCTTGCCCGACTGGTCAGCTTGCTTTACACGTTCTGCCCCTGTCAGAAAATGTTGCTACATAGGCTGTGGGATATGTGAAGTCATGCCAAACTTGCAGGTAGGTGGCCAATAATGATTGTGTTCCGAGGTGACCTCACCATGTCACGGTAGATTAGAAAAGAACGTTTTCAGTGGTCATTATCATTGCCTTTTGAGTGTACTATGGGCCTTAAGACTTTACAGATCATTTTCATGCACATAACGCTATATAACACACTAAAGCAGGGGTGGCCAATCTTCTCTGCAAAGGGCTGGTGTGTATGCAGGTTTTCACTGGAGCTCCCTAATTAGATTACTAATTAGAGGACTGATTGTCTGAAGAGCCCTCACACCTGAGATTGAACAACTGACCTAAAGGTTATTCCAAGAATCTGCATAACACCAGTCCTTTGCAGATAAGATTGGCCACCGCTGCACTAAAGGAAAGTGAAAAAACAGAAAAAGCAAAATGATCTCTCACGAAATGAGTTTATATTGATTATATTTCATACCTGATCTGGTCAGCATACTCAAGTCATGTAGTAAAACAGCTATGTCTGGAAAATTAAGTGTTTGTAAACAAAGCAAAGTGGTTTCCATCTGAAATTCACATACTTTCTGTGAAGCAGACATGGGAAGTTCACATTGGTCATTAGCTTAATGGCATCTAATAACACATTCACTGACATATCTCCACTGGTCCCACGATTGCGTTCATTTTAACCTGATGAATGAATGATGTTTTTGGAGAAACAACAATGAAATAAGGGGCTGAACTCTGACCTCTTCTGCTCCAGCTGAGACGGGTATTATCCCCATCAGTGCTGTTTTATTAGGATGTTGTTAATTTCCATCCTGTCCCAGCCTATAAAAAAACAGCCTTTTTCCACCCTGAATAGATCACATTTTCCCTTGTGAGCTCCAAGGCCAAAGAAATATGTAATGAAAACCGCGACCAGGCACCGAAACACAATGACATCTCCTGTAGTGTAGGTGGCACTGTATTTCAGATGGCATTGGGTAAAGCACAAGCACCTGTTTCAGAGCTTCAGCTGGGTGTAACAAGTAAGTGTTCATATCATTCTATTATGCATATGCTAATTACATACAGCACCGGCTCCACTGCAATTGGTGCTACTGTAATTACAAACACTGCCTCTCAACAGTGGAGGGTTTATTGATAAGGTGGCTCTAACAAGGTATACGTCATGATTATTTGAAGAATACAGGGGGAGGAAGCGGTGACGTAAATGGACTTTGCAGTGTCAAGGTGATTTTAGTCAGTGCTTCTCTCCTATTGTTTTCCTCGGTTATCAGGACTCATAGAATAAACTGACATTAAACTTAAAAGGCTGACATTCTTGAGAGAATGCGAGTCGCGTTCCAATTGTTTACTCACCAAGGACATTACGGCGGGAGGGGAAAACTGTTTCTAACCACTGATCCTCACTGAATATATACAAGAGGAAATTAAGCTTTTTTTGTGTTAGGTGGATTTCTAATTATAAAGTTATTATAAAGAGTGACCCATTCAAACCAACACCAGCCTTTTATAACAGTTCAGTAAGTGTCCTTCCAGGTGAATCTTGCACAACTTCCGTTCATTGCGAATTACAGATTTATTTTCCTCTTTTTTTCAGAAGGCGGAACCACA